ACAGAAAATTTAACTTCAAGAATTTGTAATTTCATAAACAAAAATTTTCACGTCTGCCAATCCGCTATGCGCATTCGGGCAACTGGAACTTGAAAACCGCAAAGTTTCAGCGCCATTTGGCTCAATGTATATGGGGAGATTGATTAGAAGTCGAACATAGAGTATTATGGAACGTATCCAGCGCCAGTGAAACTGAAACCTGAAAGACTTGCTAATGATTCGATGCTCCCCACCTTCAAAGATATTCTGACAGTAAGTCAGAACAGAATTATTAAATATTATTACTCGTCAGTCAGAATTATTAAACATTTATTTTTTTGTAGATTTCTTCAGCTCATCGGAGAAAAACGGTTATTTTCGACGAGCAACAGACCTGAAACTTTGCATGCGTCCACAGCAGATATTTAAACAAAAATACTTCAGATCGTCCTTTTTGGAAACCTAACTTTGAAGAACAATCCTCGCGGTAAGTTCTAGGAAAACCCATCTTAATAAAGGAAATCGAAGCCAAGAGATGGCCAATTTTGGCTACCTCGAAGCTCTTAAAATAAAAGATAGAACGCGTTGCGTATCTCAATATCAACAGATTACATTAAACAATTTATTTGTTAATATATTTCTTTTACAAATCTCATGTCAACTCATGTTCTTCTTGTGCGTGTTGGAGTTGAGCGACTCAGAACTCTACCAGGTCCCAGTATTCGCTCTTCTATCACAGGGTCAGGATAATACGGTATGCGGCTTTTTGCGGAAACGATCTGTATGGAAATTGTAAACTAGAAATAAAAACAAGAACTCTTATGCGATATATGAGTTGCCAACCTGACCACTAGTGTACATCACTCGTCCAGGGTTGATCGGATCGACTAACTCAGAGAGCGAATCTGCCTAGAATAATTGGATGCATCGCTAAAAGAGCAAATTAATTTCATTCCTAGTAGTACACAAGAGTAAGAGCCTGAGTGCGGTCTCAAAAAAATTTGCACATTTTGTTTACAAAATTGTAATATTTACGACAAAAAAATATCAGCCAAGGCTAAGATAAAAAAAAAACAACATAAATGATAAGAAATTTGCGACTTGAAAACAGAACCTAACCAGCCTAGCTTTTTCTTTAATTAACTTCTTTTTGTTTCAAACATAAAAACAGTTATTAGGTTAGGCCGAAACTTTCGCAACAATTTTGAAATTGTGGGATTAAAATTTACATAGCAGTTTCACTTACTAAAAGTAGTACGCATTTGATATTAAATTAATAGTTGTGATATATAACAATAAGAATTTTCAAATGAAAAACATGAAAATTCTAAAGGGAAGAAATATTGCCAGATCGAAGCGTTAGTGCCGGCGGCATATGACTGTAGGTAATTGTTGTTCTCTTTGAACTACTGCAAATGTTCCTGTCGCTTGTAAAACCATGGCCCTCGAGGTTTTGTAACATATAGCGAATTAATTCGCCGACATTTCTTGACTTTCTACAAACGTCTA